GCCAGTGCCACCCCTGCCATGGCAGGGACACCTCCCACTGTCCCAGGTGCTCCAGCCTGGCCCTGGGCACTGCCAGGGATCCAGGGGCAGCCACAAGGATTTGCCCTCCTTGCCTGCTCCTTGACTGGATTGCCCCAAGCAGGGAGCCTCGCTGGGCACCTGGAGGGAAGAAAGCAGAAATTCTAAAATATTTTAACCAACAAAGGTTAGGGGTAACTCCATGCACTCTCAGGTTTGCAGTCCTCAGACTTTCACAGGACAGAATTCCAGAAGTGTTTCTGGAATGTAATTGTATCTGTGACCAGTGCTTCCAACTAATCATATTATTTTAAAGTTCCTTTGGTAATTTGTCCTTAATTCCACACAAACTGCTGTTCTGGCATAAAGTGTACTTTGTGATATCAAAGTCAAACAGATTAGGCATGATCCACTTCCAGCCAGGGAGTGTTTTGGAGAGGAGATGATATAACTTAAAAGCTAAAGCTGGCTCCCTGTTTTAATTAAAGGGGATTAAACATCCATCATGATAAGGGAAAAGGGACATTTTATAAAAATCAATTACCTTCCTCAGTGTCAGTCTGGTTTAACACCTGAGGTTTCTGGGAGAAGGGAGAGTGTAACATCCCACCAGCACTCAGGGAAGGTAAATCAAACACTGTTACTGTACAGCAAGATCACAAAATATCCAAGAAAAATAACTGTATCACCCAGTCAGGTGGTATTGACAAAACAAGATGTTACACTCCTGAAGTGTATCAGGCAAATTCACAAGACTCAGCTTCAAAGTTTCCTGCAGCACTTCCCCACGCCAGGAAGCCTCCAGGTAGGGACTGCACATCTTGATGGAGATAAAAGGAAGCTGGTGGAGCACCTCAGTGTCTAAAAATAATCTTTTGGAATTGCAAAGGCTGAGCCACATCCATTCCTCAATAAAATGCCATAATATCCATGAAGAATGAGGCCTGGCACTCAGCTTTGTTGCTTCTGTCATTATGAAATCAGTTTCTGCTTGCACCGTTTGACAATATGCTCAATTTTAGATCTCACACAGGAGTGTATGAGGTAATTATACACAATATGTATAATTGATACAGCCAAAATTCCCACCACCAGAGGTTGAATACAGGGCTGCAGAATTAAATACATTTCAGTTATTTCAAAAGTTTGAGACTGTGAAAAGGTGGCAATTAAATTCCTAATGCGAGAGGGACGTTTTACTGTAATTTGAGAAAAAAGCAAGTGAAAGGCTGGATCTGGCAGCTCCTGCCCGAGGGGCTTCACATGAGGTTACACAAGTGCTCCCAGCCCCGGGTGCTGCAGGAAGTGCCAAACCTCCCAAGCCTCCTGCCCCAGCTGTCAGACTGAATCTCCAGCTGCAACAGCAGCAGTGTGAGAAGGGTGAGGAGCAGAGCCTGTGCCTGGGAACTGCACATCCAGAGAGAAAATCCCCCTGGAGAGGGGTGAGGCCAGCCCAGGGCAGGGTGGGATGAACACCAACAGCCCTGCTACAGCAGCAGAGCTCAATAAACAAATGCAATCTACAGGCACAGATAAATCATTTAATGAGGCTGCAAACAGGAAAATGGCTCTCTGCCATTACCCCTTTGCCTTCCCTCATCACTGGGTGACCTTTCATTGCCCAGCTGCTCCTCCTGGTGCTGAGGAGCTCTGGAGTGCATCCATCCCAGTGCCCCTGAGTGCTGCAGCCAGGCAGAGCCAGCCAGGGGGGGCTGGCACCTCTGCAGTGACAGGGACACTCACACAGACTTGTCACACCAGGCAGGTGCTCTTTAGCCTCCACTTTCAGCTGGTGTAGCCACACATTGATTTTACCTGCAATCCCAACAGGCCCCAAAACAACTCTTTGGTAGGGGGGAAACACAAAATTGCAAAGACAGAAATGAGAGACACAAAATGCTCAGTAATGATCCTCCCTAGCCCAGGAGAACAATTCCTTTGCCACCCAGAGATGGCTCTTTGTGGTCCAAACTTCCACCCAGAGCTCCCTGAGAAGGAATTTCAGCTTTCCCACAGCTCTGCCTTGAGCAGGGACTGCAGGAGCTGGGTCTGGACAGTCTGGGGAAGGGAAGGCTGAGAGAGGATCCCAGCAATCACACAAACACCTCAGCAATCCATACAAACACCTCAGCAATCCACACAAACACCTCATTAATCCATGCAAACACCCCTAAGGTGTCACAGGATGGTGCTCCACCCCAACCTGAGGAAGGATTTCTTTCCATGGAGGGTGGCAGAGCTCTGGGCCAGCTGCCCATGGAGCCTCCCTCTCTGGAGACATCCCAAACCCACCTGGACATATTCCTGTGTCACCTGCTCCAGGTGACCCCACCTTGGCATGGGTTGGACTGGGGGGTCCCCAGAGGTCACTTCCAACCCAAACAATTCTGGGGTTCTGTGAAATAAACACAGATTTTTCCTAAAACCTTCTCAAAGGAGGTGTGTGAGGGAAGCAGCTCCTTTCTCCCCTTCCCTTCAGAAGGCAGCAGGGCTGGTGGCTCCTCACCCCTCCTACAGCCTGGAGAGAAGCACCCCCAGATAATTTATGGGAGACATGAAGAAAGAGTTATGGTTTTTAACGAGCAATTTTGAGGCAGATACTACCAATATACAGAGTCCTTGGTTCCACTGAATAAATATCTCTGACAGCCAAACAATAACTCTGCCTCTTATTTTAGAGCTCAACCCCAAACTGGTAGACTTTGTAACTCTCCACACTCCTGCTATTCCCTGAGGTGCTTCCAAGATGATCACTGTCAGAGTCAGAGTCTATAAAAAGGATGAAGGAAGCTGGGAAATTTCCACAGAGGTGGTGCCAGCAAAACAGAACGAACATTTCAGCCATCCCTGAGCAAAGCCAGGCTGCAGCACTGGAATTCCAGCAGTGCAGTCCAAGAGCTCCCCCAGCTGAGCTCTGGGACAGCTGCAGTCACTGCCAGAACAGCCCAGGTACCTGGAAAGTTCCAGATCTGCTCCAAGGGGATTCCGTTACTCTCTGCAGCCAGGGATTGTTCAGAGAAGAGCTGGAGAACTCTTAAGAGGAGCTGTCATGGTGCAGAACAAGGAGTGCCTTGGGAAGTGGCAAACTCCTGCCTGATGCTCCAGGGAAGAGCAGGGAGGCCCTGGCAAACCTGCAGTGGCATCCTGCCACAAGCCACCCCATCCTGTGTCACACACTGTCACCCACCCATGGAAACTCCACTGAAAGGGAAAAGCTTCTGCTCTGAACATGGCCTGTCCTCAAAACCTTCACTTTAGAGAAGTGACTCCCACAAACACAGGATGGCTGGAGAAGGCATGGAACAACCCAACCCAAAGCCAGATCAGCTGCTGCCACCCCTCCTGGAGCAGCTCAGGCCTGCTGGGACTGTGCTGGGCTCCCTGAGCTCCTGCTGGGCTGTGCTGGGCTGTGCTGGGCTCCCTGAGCTCCTGCTGGGCTGTGCTGGGCTCCCTGAGCTCCTGCTGGGACTGTGCTGGGCTCCCTGAGCTCCTGCTGGGCTCCCTGAGCTCCTGCTGGGCTGTGCTGGGCTCCCTGAGCTCCTGCTGGGCTCCCTGAGCTCCTGCTGGGCTGTGCTGGGCTCCCTGAGCTCCATGGGCAAAGGGGATGAGGAGCTTCCCATGGGCTGTGGCACCATCTGCTGGAGATGGCACCAGGAAAATGGGCTGGAATGAAGGGATTCTGGAGGAAGAACTGACAGGATCCAAACTGCATCATATTCTGAGCTGGAAAGCCACAGGATCATCTGTCCAGCCCCTGGCCCTGCACAGACACCCCAACAAGCCCACCCTGTCCCAGAGCAGTGTCCAAACACTCCTGGAGCTCTGGCAGCCTTGGGGCTGGGACCATTCCCTGGGCAGTGCCCAGCAGCCTCGGGGGGAAGAACCTTTTCCTGGGATCAGTCACACCCCAGTCACAATCCAGAACCACATTTCTGGATCTCCACCTGGTTTACCAGAAGTATCACAAGAGATTCTGCAAAATCCTCCTCGGACAGAGAGCCCAGGGACCAGGAATGCTGGGAAACAGATTTCACGACGTGTTGGAAGAATTTTTAAAATTCCCATTCATGTTCCAGAGAGTCAGCCCCACCCTCCACCCCTTCCCAGGCCTGGAAAAGAGCACTGGAGCCATTCATTTACAGCCTCCTGGCTCCTGGAGGCTTTTATGTGCCACAGGCACCAACACCCAGAGCCCCCAGGGAGCCATAGCCCTGAGAGGTGGGAGGATCTCGTCTGCCACTGCCAGGGCACGGTGACAGCAGAGCCTCCCTGTGACATTTCTGCTCTAATTTGCACGCAAATGTCAATATTTATTAGTCACATCAAGATCTTCAGCAAAGCTCCCCTGGGCTGCTGAGTCTCTGCACTTATACTTTTAAATTGATTTAAAAAGAAGCATATTGGCTCTTGGTAACTTATTCCAGACTCTCTACATTCTTTATTTCATCCTTAACTCTCTACTGTTTTTGTGGGGAGTTATTTCCAAGGAGTCTATGCATCAACAGTGTTGAAAAATGCTTTACCATCACGCCAAAAAATGACCATGGAAAAGTAACCTTTTCACTTAACTTGTCCCTAGAGCTGTGAACATATTTATGTATTTAAATAATGGAAATCTGAAAGTAACAGATGTTTCCTGCTTAGAGCACAGTGCAAGAACAACAGTGCTTCACTATTACAGTGCCTCTGGAGCATCCACACATTCCCATCCCCATTTGCTCTCCTGTGCATTAGTTTGCAAAAATCCCCAAGTGCTGAAATCTGGTTTTAATCGTGATGTCAACAAGTCTCCTTAATCCTGCTGCAAGTCAGGAATTAGGCCTCTGAGCAAGCCAGCATGAAAGAAAGTGAAATTGCTTTTAAATGTAAACTAGGAGGGAAGAGGAGAGAAAAAATGGGAATTGAGAGATTAGGTAAACCTGATGGAATTTGGTAGAGCTGGGGAAAGGGTATTTCAGTGGTGTCCAAGAGCCCTCACTCACCAGGATTTGGGCTCCCCAAAATGCAAGTAGTTGATGCTGTAGAGATCCATGTCCTCTGTGTGCCAAGCAAAAGTTGTCTTCCACATCCCAAAGTAGAGGTAGGGAGTGTTCACACCCTCGATGATGATGCCACACTCGTGCTCCACCATGTCCAGGAGGGTGTTCAGGTTGCCAATGTTCCACTCATCCACGTCCTGGAACAGAAATGGTTTGTACTGGTTTGTACTGGGAATGCCAGCCCTCAGCTCCCTGCAGGCCTCAGGGGGCAGGTGCTGGTGTCACCTGCATTAGCTGAACACTCTCTGCTTCCAGGAAGGGTTCTTTGGTGCTCCTCTCTGACCACAGGCAGGAGGGAGCTCCAGCACCCTGAAGAGGCTCTTGCACTGTGCAATACCCCAGCAGTAATTAACTATCCTGGTAATGAACACCCAGGGTAGAGCACACTCCTCTCAGATGTTCTTCCACTGATCAGAAACACCCCAGTGTGGCCAAAGGGGCAGAACCTTCTGTCTCAGCTCAGGGCTTCAGGTAAAAACAGGAAACCACCTGAGAACAGCTGTGCTGGTTGTGTCCCACCCTGATCACAGCAGGAAAGGATGGGATTCTCCCCCCCAAGCACCAAATCCCCTGCACCCCTGAGATGCGCATGGCTCTGAGCACCTCAGATATCTCTGCTTATTCTAATTAATTCCATATTAAACCATACTGATAATAAAAGACACTCGTACATTCACACACAATCAGACAGCACTCCAAAGAAGGCCACTTCCCACTCAAAAGAAAACTACAGAGGAAGAGATTTAAATTATCTGCCTAAAAAGAGTAAGAAGAGAGAAACCTTTATCATTTACAGAATTACTTGAAGCAGAGGATGAAATTTTACCATGGAAAAGCTTAAACAATTTGAATTGTAAAATAATTCAGTGTGCAGGTGCATTGTATCCTAATGGAGCTGCCTACAAGGAAAAGATCCAAATGCAAATAATTTAAAATCCAAACGTAAATAATTTAAAATCCAAATGCAAATTATTTATGTTAAGAATCAAAAAATATTTTTGATGAAGCACCATTTCCTTGAAATACTGTTTTTTTCTTGCTTTCTAAGGGGCTTCAGCAGGAATGTCCATTTTATTCCCTTAAAAAAGAAACAAAACCCAAGGTATAGACAATTTTTTGCCACAGTCTGCAAAAGAATTTATTTAAATCACACTTTTCCTAATCTTTCTACTAAAAGTCAGCTTTTCACAGCTTCTACTGACTATTATCCCGAATTTCAGGGGAACCTTAATCCCACTGTTGTAATGAGGGGAAAAACACAAAGGTACTGTGGTTTTTTTAGGGTGGTTACGTTGATGAAATTCTGCTCCTCAATGAGAAAAGTACAAACAGGAAGTCAGTGTCTGTGTCTGAAACAAATAAAGGAGAAGCTCTGGACTTACTGCATCATAGAGGGAGCCACTGATATCAGCCCCATAGATGGGAGACACAAAGGTGAGGTTCTTCCAGTACTTGCGCTCCAGGTCCTCGAAGTCCTGGTGCCGGGGGGTGCAGTACCTGCAGGAACACAGGGTGTCAGAGCCCTGGGAGCAGCCAGCACAGCAGCTCTGAGGGTGCATTTCACCTTTAATCCACAGAACTGCTGCCTTTTCCACCTCGGGGCGGGCTGACTGACAGGACATGCAGCACCACATCCCCAGCCCATGGAAACGTGAGCTGAGGTTATCCCACAGCTCTCAGGTGCCAGGAAAGCTCCAAAGCTGGTTATCCTGGAATGGTTTGGCTTGGAAGGGGCCTTAAATCCCACCCAGTGCCACCCTGCTATGGCAGGGACACCTCCCACTGTCCCAGGTTGCTCCCGGCCCAGCCCAGCCCTGCCCTGCAGCACGCACTTCTCGCTGTTGGCCCTGCCCAGCCCAGCCCTGCAGCCCAGCCCAGCCCAGCCCGGCCCGGCCCAGCCCGGCCCGGCCCTGCCCAGCCCAGCCCAGCCCAGCCCAGAGCTCAGCTAAGCTCAGGTCAGCCCGGCCCAGCTCAGCCCAGCCCAGCCCAGCCCAGCCCAGCCCAGCCCAGCCCAGCCCTGCCCAGCCCAGCCCAGCCCTGCAGCACGCACTTCTCGCTGTTGGCCAGGCGCCGGTACTCGCCCACGCTCATGGGCTTCTTCTGGATGTTGTACTGGGTGAAGAGCCCCGACTGGCCCGTGACCACCTGCTGGATGGGCGCTGGGATCACCATGTCGTCGATGTCGTCGTACGTGCGCCGCGGCTTCCACTCCTTGGGGGGGATCACCTGTGCCCAAAGGAAGGAAACGGTTTTTGTGAGGTAATGCACAAAGGTCTCCTGCGCCTGCATGGGTTCTTCTGTTTGTTATTTTGCCTTTTAATAAAGCTTTTTGTTTCCAGCATTGCAGTAGAAGCCATCCTGCTGATTTTTATGCCTCCAAAGGTATCTGAGCAATCTTGGATGTGTTATAGACCTCCAAGAGATTGAGACCTGGCTCCAGGAGGATCACATAGCAATCACCTGCAGCAGGGACAACAAAAACATGGAACTGCTACAGACACTGGAGCTGGGGGTTTGAGGGGCGCAAGGGGCTCCACTTCCCCTACAGGACTCTGAACTGCAGCTGCAAGAAACACAAAACTGACCTGGAACGCTCAGATTAATCCTACAAGTCATTTCTTTACAATATCTGGAAGTCACCAACAAGCTCTATTAAAATAATCTCCCTAGCAGAGTCCTGGAAGGTAATTGCTTGTACACTTGAGTGGACAAGGAAACATTCCACAGAGAGCTCTTCATCAATAGCCAGCTCTCTTTAGAGCAGCAATAAACCCAGTAATTGACCTGTGTTTTAGAAGAAATAAGAATTATTTCATGCCTAACAGCTTTATTTCTCCACTGTGCTTTATTAAGGCCAGCTAAACACCACTCCTAACAAGTTCTTGTCAGAGCAAATGATCCCATCAGCCTGTGCTGACATGGCCACAGAAATACCCTTTCTAATCACTTAGTCCTGGAGTTTTCCAAGCAGTTCCGTGTCAGGTACTGGAACTTAGAAGCTTCACATGGAAAGTTCTCATAACCAGAGGGTGCTGGGCAGTGCCAGCCTCCCCAGGGAGTGGTCCCAGCCCTGAGGCTGCCCTCAGGGATGCTCAGGGTGGGGTTGTTGGGGTGTCTGTGCAGGGCCAGGGGCTGCACTGGATGATCCTGTGCAGGACATTCCTCTCCTTTCCTCCCTCCATAACCAAACCAGAGATTCCAGATACAGCGTTCCAAAAAGCACACTGTGCTCAGTTCCATGGACACAAACAAGATCTCGGGCCCTCAGAAGGCAACTCCAGCTCCCTGAGCAGCCTTTACCTCAAGCCAGCTCCTCACCTTGGCCAGCCTTCACCTTGGTCATCCCTCACCCTGGCCAGCTCCTCACCTTGGCCAACCTTCACCTTGGTCATCCCTCACCTTGCCCAGTCCTGACCATGGCCAGTTCCTCACCTTGGCCATCCCTCACCCTGGCCAGTTCCTCACCCTGGCCAGTTCCTCACCTCTGCCAGCTCCTCACCTTGCCCAGCTCCTGCCCTCGTCCAGCCCTCACCCTGGCCAGCCCTGCCCTCACCTTGGCCAGCCCAGCCCTCCTCACCTTGGCCAGCCCAGCCCGGTGGGCTCCCTGGGACTCCATGAAGGCGATGAACCTGCCGAAGTCGCGGAACTCGTCCAGCGAGGGCCGGAAGGTCATGATCTTGCAGCCAGGGTTCTGCGGGCTCGGGTGTTCCGACCCCATAGCTCCAGTCCTGCACGGGGACACGGGAAGGGAAGGGGCAGAAAAGACACTGCTTAAAACCTTTGGTGTTTAACTCCCAGCTCTAGGCAGCTCCACAAAAAGCCTGGGGAGATTTTTCATTTCCTCCCTCTACTCCTGCAAGGAGGGGTTTGTAAAAGTACCCTCTAACATGGACATGGGGAGCTCCCAACCAAAAACCCACTCAGTCAGGAACTCCTGACACCAGGATCACCCCAGAGCTCAGACAGGGGCTAAATATAGACCAGGGGCAGAGCATCTGCCCCAGCTCACCACAGAAAGTGGTGCCTCATCAGGATCCTGTCACAAAAATAACAGCTTCTCACCACCTTCAGCTTGTCAGCGTGCAGAGCTTGCCACCCCACGAGTTTTCTACCAAAATGCTTCACCATTTTCTGTTTAGGTTCAAACCCAACAGCTTTCCCCAGTTTTGCTTTTTTTTTCGTGTGCTAGACTACAGTAAAAGTTATAAAATTAAGGATTTTTTTTTAAATGTAGCTTCATTACACTTTGTATTTGCAATGTACATAAATAGAACAAAGCGTCAGGCAAGTCTTACAAGAAATACAGATGCACATTTCCAAAACATCCAAAACAAACTCTCAAACCATTCAGGATGAAACCACAGTTTTTAAAATAGACTTTTTTAAGGTAATTCTGGAAATCTGTAAGGGAAATAAAATGTTTTAGAGGCGTTTCAGCTGCAAATATCCCCACAAAGGAGTTCTCCATGCGAGGAGCTGCAGCAGCTCCACACCCTGAGTGCTCACGAGATGGCAGTGCTGGGCTGTGCAGGATGAACTGCAGGAAAACGGCTCCTGCCAGACTTTTACATGCAAAAAAAGCATTTAAAGTGTGTTTAAACTGATTTCAAAGCAGCCAAGGAGTACTGCAGACGCTCCTGGAAGTACTCATAGTGTTAGGAAAACACAAAACGAAGCAGGGAGCACTTCCAGATCTGTGTTTGAATGGGTGAGTGTGGCACAGCCAGTGCTCCCAGCTCCCGGAATTAAAACCAGCTAAAGTGGGCACATTCCACACCCAGGGCACCAAGGTTTCATTTTAACTCCATAAAACTTTTCATTTCAAAGGCACATGAACAGTTCTGAGTGAAATTTTAGAAGCCAGGAAACATCAGAATTTTACACAGTAACTTTTATGCACATTTGTTTCAAAACAAGGATCTGCAAGTCTTATATTCTTCCCCAAGGAGTCTTTAAAGGAGTTTTATGCATAAAATCACAGCTTCTCACAGGCAGAAAAGCCCTTCCTGAGCCAGGAGCCAGAGATGCAGAACCCAATCCAGAATAAAATCAAATGATGAATCCCAGTATTGCAGGAAATACCAAATTGAGGGAGAAAAATACCATTTCACCCCCTTCACCCCAAGACACTTCCCATCTCCAACAGGAATCGTTGCAGTTTGGAAACAGAAGTGCCTTTTAACCAACCCCTCCATCTTCAGGGTGGCCCTGCCCAAGGAGATTTCCAAACAAGGAACAAAAATTGCCTTCTGAGAACAAAAGCTGCAGTTTCAGGGTCAGCACTGGAGGAGAAGCAGCAGATTGATCCGTGCCCATGGGAAGGCTTTCCTACACAAATGTTTTGCAGGAACACAAGGAGGAAATCCCTGGGATGAGCCAGGGGAGCTGGGGACCCATCTGCCAGAGCTTTGCTCCAATCCCCCAGGAAAACAGGGCTGGGCTGGAGGGAAAGGGGCTGTGGGAGTGGGACAGGGACAGAAGCCACCGCAAAGGCTGGCACAGCCTCCTGGGAGTGGTGGGGCTGTTCTGGAGCAGCTCTGGCACTGCCAGGGCTGGGCAGCCCCGCCAGCATCCCGGGAGGAGCTGGCTCAGAGTGAATTCCGTCCTGAGCAGGAGCCCTGCCAGCACCATCTGCTCCTGAGAGGCTCCTGCAGCTCTACCCACAACCAGGGGCAAAACAAACAGGCAAAGCCAGCCTCCAGCCCATGCTTCCCTCAAGATTCTCTCACAAAATTCCAGTTTTCCAAAATTCCAATTTTTAGTCAACAAACTCAGAGCAAAGAGTGAAAATACATGCTCCAGTAAGAAAGGAAGATCAAAAACAACTTAATGCAAAGCTTAATCAATTAATTAAAGGATAAAAATACTTCCTGCAAAGCTTAATTAATTAATTAAAAGGTCTACTGCCTAAATACAAGCAGCATCACCTGGCACTCTAGAATTCTTTAGTCCAGAGACAGCAAAACATGAGATTTTTCAATGTGCAGTCCCATCTAAAGAGCATTTCAACACCCACCCTAGATAATGTACATTTAGCAAATCAGACTAATTAAGCTATTACAATAAAATGGCCACAGAGCTCATGGGAAGGGGGGAATCAGGTCCGTGACCTCAGGGAGATGGGGGAGCTTCCCCCAAGGAGCTGGGAACACCCTGGCCCAGGGAAAGCTGGGGGAGAAGAGAATTTCATTCCCAAGTGCTTCCTACATGGCAGCAGTTTTGGGAAAGCAGTGCCAGGACCTGTCCCCAGCTCTGCTCCAGGACCCGTGCCCAGCTCTGCCCCAGAACCTGTCCCCAGCTCTGTCCCAGGGTCTGTCCCCACCTCTGCTCCAGGACCCATGCCCAGCTCTGCCCCAGGACCCGTGCCCAGCTCTGTCCCAGGATCTGTGCCCAGCTCTGCCCCAGGACCTGTCCCCAGCTCTGTCCTAGCACCCATGGCCAGCTCTGCCCCAGGACCCGTGCCCAGCTCTGTCCCAGGACATGTGCCCAGCTCTGCCCCAGGACCCGTGCCCAGCTCTGCCCCAGGACCTGTGCCCAGCTCTGCCCCAGGACCCGTGCCCAGCTCTGTCCCAGGACCTGTGCCCAGCTCTGCCCCAGGATCTGTGCCCAGCTCTGCCCCAGGGTCTGTGCCCAGCTCTGTCCCAGGACCCGTGCCCAGCTCTGTCCCAGGACCCGTGCCCAGCTCTGTCCCAGGACCTGTGCCCAGCTCTGTCCCAGCTCCTGGCATCACACGGGACACACAGCCAAGGCAGCAGGACAGGGCTTCAGCTTCATCTGGGATTTTCAGGAGATGACCCCAATTAAGCAGTGCCCTAACGAGCTCCTGGCATCACTGGAAGGTTCCAGAGCAGAATCTGAGTGTTCTGAGAGCACTGAGAGCCCCTCCCAGCCCCTTTCTGCAGGGCTGCAGGTGAGGCCAGGTGGGAACAAACCCTTCTCTCCATACTGAGGAGGATTCTGCAGCCAGAGCCCCAGCAGCTCCTGAAAAGAAGAGTGAAGGTATTTTTCTCAGCTGGATACATTCTGTTTCTTTGTTAGACAGTTACAACCTGAAATATTATGAAAACCTTCTAATTTTCAGCCATTGTGAGGAAGCACAAAAACTTGTCTCCAGAGGGACGATCTCGGTGCACACAAAGAACTGAGTTTTAATTTCAATGACTTTTACATGAGACTTTTCCCTTCCAAAACTGATGTGAACCAAGACACTTTTGTGACTGAAACCCTGCACCTGTTGACTGAAACCTTTGTACAGAGGAGAAAAAGCCCAGGACACCCAGCTGAGATCCATGACTCGAGCTTGCTGCAGCACTGGCAGGACTGGGAATCCTTCCTCCAGAAAAGGTTTGGGATTTCTGAGCAGCTCCTGCTGCTGCCCCACTATTGATCTCTGCAGAGCCAATAATGCCAGCTCACTCTCCTGGGTGACTGAACAGTGCCTGCTGTGGGATCAAACGTGGCTTTAGGCAGCAGCCCTGGGGCCCATCCTGTGCCCAGTGCCAGCCCAGGGACACAAAGTGGGAGTGCCAGCATCCACCTGGCAGCACTGAGGGCACAGCAGCACCACAAAACCCTTCTGATCTCGCTAAACAAAGTTCATGCTCAGTTTGACCACAACAGGAGTTCCTGCAGACACCTTTGGAGAAGGCAGCAGGTGTCAGGGTAAAGCTGTGCCCAGGTGATGGGGACCCTGCTGCCCTGGGACAGCTCCAGCTGGAACAAACCCACCCCTGACCCCACACCACCCCGAGGATTTCCCTGGGGCTGTGCTGGAAAGGGCTAAAAAGACACTTGGAAATGCTCAAGACAGATGGAAAGGGCTAAAGACACAGGGAAAGGGCTAAAGACACTGGGAAAGAGCTAAAAAACCACGTGAAAATGCTAAAGACACATGGAAAGGGCTAAAGACACAGGGAAATGCTCAAGACACAGGGAAAGGGCTAAAAGGCTCGTGGAAATGCTGCCAGCCCCAGCAGAGCACACAGGTGAGCTCCCAGGAGGTGGGCACAGGCTGGCACCATGCCCTGCTGAGGGAGCAGAACCCCACACCTGAATTCCAGGGGATAAACAAAGCTGGGAGCAGGGGGACGTCTCCCAGTCTGGAGGGGCTCAGCCCTGCCCCTGGCTGTCCCTCTGCTGTGCCAGGGGATGAGCTGGCACGGCTCTGGCCCCAGGGCTGGGCACTGCCAGGGAAATGGGGCACAGCCTCCCAGTGCCAGACACCTGGCACAAAATGACACCAACAAAATGCAGATTTCCAGCGTGCCTGGATGAGCTTCTCCTGCCTCACTCAGTATCTGAGGCATTTCCCCAACAATAATGAGAGCCCTGCTCGTGAAAACCTCCTTTAAACTTGCTCTTAATTCATTATTTAACTGTCCTGCACACAAATATTAATGGAAACCTCATGTGTTTATCTGAAATGGCATTTTTAGATGAATTAGGCTGGAACACAAAGGACAGATTCTTCTATTTCCATCCACTTCCTTTCCCTCAAAGCCAACACATTACTCTGATTTCCATCCATTCTCACGGATCAGACTCTACCCAAAATCTCTTTGCAGAACCACAGACAAACTTCTCCAAGACAGGTCTGTGCACAAAATAGATTACTAAAGCTATATATATTTATATATCTATTAAAACTATATTGGCTATGTGGTGTAAGGATATCTGAGACAACTTTCCTCCCTTCCCCTCTGTTCCCAAGAATCAGAT